GTTTCTAGCTCTCTATCTCTCTCCCTTCCTCTCTGTAAAAAATCAATAAAATATATATATATATTTTTTTTAAAAAGAGATGAAGTGACAACAGACTCCACAGAAATACAAAGAATTGTAAAACAAACAAACAAAAAAAAACCACTATGAACAACTCTACTCTAACAAACTGACAACCTAGATGAAATGGACATATTCTTAGAAAAATACAAGCTTCCAAAACTCAAAAAGGAAGAATAAAAAAACCTGAATAGTCTGATAATTACCGATCAAATTAAAGCAGTAATCAAAAATCTTCCAGGGGAGTTTTACCAAACATTCAAATTAGAACTAAAACCTATCCTCCTCAGACTATTCCAAAAAAATTCAAGAGGAAGTCACACTTCCAAGCTCTCAGACTATTCCAAAAAAAATTCAAGAAGAAGTCACACTTCCAAGCTCTTTCGATGAAGCCAGAATTACCCTAATTTCAAAACCAGATAAAGACATCATAAAAAAAAGAGAACTATAGGCCTGATGAACATATGTGTAACTCCATCTATTGAAAAAAATCCACATTATTAACTGTAAGAGAGGAAACCATAAAAATCTTAGAAGACTCCATAGGCAGCAAAATATCAGACATATATAATAGCTATATCTTTATGGATACAGCTCCTAGGGCAATGGAAACTAAGAAGAAAATAAACAAATCGGACTACATCAAAATAAAAAGCTTCTGCACTGCAAAAGAAACCATTAATAAAACAACAAGAAAGCCCACTGTATGTGAGAACATATTTGCCAATATTATCTCTGATAAGCGTTTAATCTCCAAAATTTACAAAGAACTCATACCAACTTAACAAAAGGAAGATAAACAACCCAATCAAAAAATGAGCAAAGGACCTAGACACTTTCGAAAGAAGACATACAGAAGGCTGAGACATATGAAAACATACTCAAAATCACTAATCATCTGAGGGCTGCAAATCAAAACAACAATGAGGTACCATCTCACCACTCAGAATGGCTATCATCAACAACTCAAAAAACAACAAGTGCTGTCAAGGATGTGGAGAAAAAGGAACCTTGAACACTGCTGGTGGAGATGCAGACTGGTGCAGCCACTGTGGGAAAAAGTGTGGAGATTGCTCAAAAAATTAAAAATGGAACTGCCAATTGATCCAGTAATCCCAGTGCTAAGAAAACTAATAATATCTCAAGAAACCAGAAACACCTATCACAAAGGACATATGCACTCCTATGTTCGTAGCAGTACAATTTACAATAGCTAAGATTTGGAAACAGCCTAAATGGCCATCAGCAGATGAGTGGATTAGAAAACTATAGTATATCTACACAATGGAATACTACGCTGCTATAAAAAAGAAACTTTTACCATTTGCAATAGCATGATTGAACCTGGAAAGCATTATGCTAAGCAAAATAAGCCAGCCAGTCGGAGAAAGATAAATATCACATCATCTCTCATATGTGGGATATAATGAACATAAACTAATGAACAAAAGTAGATCCAGAACTAAGAAACACTGAGCAGGAATCCAACCTCAGAGAGAAGGTGGGGGGTAAGAAAGGAAGGGTGGTTAAAGATCAATCAAAAGACTTGTATGTATGCATATTAGCATAATCAATGGACAGGGACACTGGGGTGGTAGGGGCTTGTCCTAGGGGAAGGGAGTGGATGGTGGGATGTCAATCGGGGGAAAAGACATATGTAATACTTTAAACAATAAAAAAAAAGTAATTAATACAACTGAGAAAGTAATTTCAAAATTTTATTTAACTAATCCTATATAATAAAGAGGTAATATGCAAATGATTATCACACCTTCATGCCATAAAGGCTCAACACTAGAGAGAGGAAAGGGGACCAGCCAGGCACAAATGAGCTCGTGAGAGAGGAATGGGGACCAACCAGGCATAAATGAGCTCGTGAGAAAGGAATGGGACCATCCAGGCTGCGACCTTGGAAGAGGGACAAGCCACCCACCACATGGTACCAGACACCAGTGGCTGCACCTGCAGCCTGGGAGAGGAATAAATCACCTGCCTCGTGGTCCCTGGAACCAGCCATTTGAGGCTGTGGCCCAGGAGAGGGACAAGCTGCCCACCCCATGGTCCCAGGAGCCTGTGGCGGGCCAGTGGGAGGGAAGTCCGGGTCCCATGTGCCCGCGACCAGCCAGAGGAGGGAATCCTGGGTCCTGGGTGCAGGGCAAGGCAAAAGTGGCTAGGGGTGATCAGGTCAAAGGGGGAGCAGTTAAGGACAATCAGACTTGTAGGGGCAATCAGGCAGGCAGGCAGAGGTGGTTAGGGGAGATCAAGCAGGCAAGCAGGCAGGTGGTTAGGAGCCAGCGGTCCCAGATTGTGAAAGGCAGTCGGACATCCCCCAAGGGGTCCGGACTGGAGTGAGTGCAGGCTGGGCTGAGGAACCCCCATCCCCGTGCATGAATTTCATGCATTGGGCCTCTAGTTTAAATATAAATAGCTGCATGTGGCTAGTGGCTATTATACTGCACAGTGTGGGACAAAACATTTCAATTAAAAAAAGGAAATTGTCAAATTTGATAAAAGAAAAAGATGCAGCTATATGTTGTCAATATGGTAACTGAGAAGCTAATTCTAAAATTTATATGTAAATATAGGATTTAAAATAATAACAACAGTTCTGTAAAAGACAGAATTGAAGGACTTATACTACCTACTCAAAGCTATAATCATTAAGTGTGATATAAAAAGGGCTGAAAAGTTTTGAAGAAAGGGGTTTGAGGCATTCCAGTTCTCCATTGTTATATGGGGACAAAGGAGCCACATAGCAAGTATCTAAGAATGATGAGGAACTGATAGCAACTGGCCTGCCAAAAAATGAATTGTGCCAACAAACTGAGTTTGGAAGGGGAGCCTCCAGATCAGAACCCAGCCAGCCAACATCCTCAGTGTGAGACCCTGGACAGAGAACTCAGCTATGCTGTGTCTGACTTTCTGACCTACAGAAGAGAGCTAATAAACAGGTGCTGTTTTAATCAAGTAAATTTGTGGCAATTTGTTATGGAGTAACAGAAAACCAGTACAATGTATTTTCTTTTGTCTCCTTTAATCCCGTTTAGTCATGTAAGCATATTATCTTTATAATTTAAAAAAGGGAGAGTGAAGAAACACTGTGCTTTCCAGTCATGAAAGTATTCAAGATTAAAATAATACTTGTTATCTGATAAGCATATACAAAATTTGAACTAAGTAGCTGTAGAATTCCTTCTGGCTCTAAAGCTATATAATTTTTTTAATATTATTAAAAAATTATATTAAATATATTAAGAGGCCTTTTATTACATTAATAATTAGGATTATGCTAAAATGTGTATCTCAAAATAATCCCGAATATTTCAGACATGCTATTACAATAGTCATATGGCTAACAGAGAGGGGTAGGAACTAATAAATTGGAATAACACACCTGTACAGACATCAAAATCAATGGCAAATATGGCTCCAATTACATAAAGGAAAACAAAGAACATCACTTTTATTTGAAAGACTATTGGATTTAAAAAAGAAAAATAAACTATTTCACTTAAAAACTACTCTAGGAACCAAGAGGCACTCAAAATTTGTTATATTCCACTGTAGCATGCCAGGGAAATAAGTATGTCAATGCTCCTATTTCAGTATAATTGGAAAAGCAAGTATTTTTAAATGTCCCTTGGTTATCCAATTAAAATTGAAATAATTATCATTTATCCAATTAGTATTATATGCCCATCACTATACTAGCTTATTAAATACACTTACTTAAACCTTACAATAGATCTGAGTTTTAACATCCTCTGCATGAAAAAGCTACAATTCAGAAAGTAATCATATAGGCCAGTAAGCCAGATCTGATCTGACGGCAAAGCTGTTCCTTCTACTAAAGATTACTATCACAGTAGTTTCAGCAAAGCAGTGTGTCAGAAGGCACATTAAGAGTAATTCAAAGTCATTTTTTTTTAAATACTGTTTATTGGTGCCCACCCCCACAAGAGAATCTCTTGGTGTAGGGCCCAGGAAGTTGGATTTTTTTTTAATATATATATATATTTTATTGATTTTTTACAGAGAGGAAGAGTGAGATGGATAGAGAGTTAGAAACATCAATGAGAAAGAATCATCAATCAGCTGCCTCTTGCACACCCCCTACTGGGGATATGCCCACAACCCAGGTACATGCCTTTGACCGGAATCGAACCTGGGACCTTTCAGTCCAGAGGCTGTCGCTCTATCCACTGAGCCAAACCGGTTTCGGCAAGAGTAATTCAAAGTCTTTAAGGAGATAAAGGTGAAATATACTATTATTACCAATAAGAAAAAAATTAAAAGAATGGCAGTTTGGTGGTCTGATTATGACTTGTCGAACCCATGAGGACTTTAGCATGTGTGGATAAAGAAGGAAAAATAAGAAAATACTTAATTGGAACACAGAATTAAAGGCAATTATCTAATCTTATCGAATTACCCACGCTTGTATTTATAATTTTCTTTTTTTAAAAAAACTGACAACCCCTCTCTTTCACCAAGTTAAATTTATGCATCCTTTTAAATATAAATTTTAATAGGAATTACTGAAACCCATCCCTGCTATGTGGCCCATTTAGGACTTTGGAAGCCTGGAAACATTAAGGTCTGACCTCACACTCAGGAAGGCATCTGACTGCTGTCTTGTGACTTCCACACTCTCAAGAACTAAAGGAGTTCTCCACACCCACCAAGTTCTGCAAGTATGCCCAGCAAAAGCAGATCCAGTTTTCAGTTAGAATTTTAACTTGCTTAATGTCAAGTAGGAAAGAAACACTGGACACATAGCAATTATTCACTCCATCATTGATTTTTAACTTGAATAAACATAAAAGTTATTTACATTCAAGATAAGTACAAACAAAAGTCTCTTAGGTCTCTGAATAATTATCTTGAAATCACAGAGATATCTGGAGTACTTTATGGATTTATTTAAAAGATATACTCACTCTCTGTTCATCATCAGATACTTGGGAGGACATACAAGATTTTGTTGCCATGTGAGTCTGAAAGAACTGGAAAAAAAAAAATAGAAAATATACATATTACTCCAAAAACCTACATCTAAATAATGTGTTTACATTAAAAAAGAAATTCTAATAGTCATTATTACCAAATTTTGACTTGTCATCTATACAACTGACTCATGTTTAAAACCTTCTTGTTAGATATCTGCATAAGTAAATATATAATAGTCAAAATATAATATACATTAATGCGCTTACCCCTATACAAATTACTTTAAAAATTAGCAAATGCCCATTTACATAAAGGAAAACAAAGAACATCACTTTTATTTGAAAGACTATTGGATTTAAAAAAGAAAAATAAACTATTTCACTTAAAAACTACTCTAGGAACCAAGAGGCACTCAAAATTTGTTATATTCCACTGTAGCATGCCAGGGAAATAAGTATGTCAATGCTCCTATTTCAGTGTAATTGGAAAAGCAAGTATTTTTAAATGTCCCTTGGTTATCCAATTAAAATTGAAATAATTATCATTTATCCAATTAGTATTATATGCCCATCACTATACTAGCTTATTAAATACACTTACTTAAACCTTACAATAGATCTGAGTTTTAACATCCTCTGCATGAAAAAGCTACAATTCAGAAAGTAATCATATAGGCCAGTAAGTCAGATCTGATCTGACGGCAAAGCTGTTCCTTCTACTATCCCAAATGGTAAACCAAATACATATTCACTGTGCTTGTAACAGCCAGGAATTGGAATGGGAAAGACAGGTGTGAGAGAAGTTCTTTGAATTTCAAAGCAATGCTGCCTCAGAGGCATTACTATTCTACTTCTGAGTGCAGTACACAATACTGAGGAATGCGTGCATTTTTTAAAAAGTAATATCAATATGGACATAGTAAGAAAATATGTAAACAGTGCCAATAAGCTCCCTTCCTACCTCTAAGTCCCTAATCACTCAGCAATTCTGCTACCCAGAATCCACCAGCTTATGTCTCCTTCCAGAGTCAGACCATGCATGCAGAAACATAATGAATATGCAGGTCTCCTCTGTTTACAGGAGTAGCCTATTGTTCTATACTGTTTTTTGGTTTGTTTGTTTGTTTTGCTTAATCTGTCCTAGTGGCCATTTCACCAGTACCCAGATCTACCTCATCCTATCTAATAAAGAGGGAATATGCTAATGTACTTACCCTCACAGGAGTAGTCTATTGTTCTATACTGTTTTGACTCTATTGTTCTATATTGACCCTCATGCTGTCGCAAAAGATGGCAGTGCCCACAGCCAAAAAGGAGGGAATATGCTAATTGTCTGTCATGCCCTCAAAGATGGAGGCGCCCACAGCCACAAGATGGTGGCGCCAAAGCCCCTCAGCCCCATTGGGGCAGCAGGGCCCTCCAGAGTCCCTCAGTCCCCTCAGCCCCCAAGCTGCCCAGGGCCGGCCCTAGGCACAGGAAAGCCTCGGATGGCGGCTGCTCAGCCACCCAGGGCTGCCCGAGGCTCAGGTAACCAGGGCCGGCCAAGGTTTGCACTACCAGCAGTGGCAGCAGCAGAGGTGTGATGGGGGCATTGCCTTCCCCTAATCTCCGGGTCACCTCCCACCCCTGAGGTCTCCCACACTGTGAGAGGGGGCAGGCTGGGCTGAGGGACCGCCCCCTCCAGTGCATGAATTTTCATGCACCGGGCCTCTAGTTGTGTCTATAGTGTAGCATTCTGTTTTGTGCACTAGAGTATATGTAAATGTTCTACCTTTATTTAAGCAGTACCCTGGTCTTTAATTACAATGAACTATACTACAGTGATAAAAGGGGGAACCATACCAACTACAGCAAGGGAAGGGAGCAGAGTTTCCCACCTCACCAACCCCCCGATTCCATCCCTCCACCTCCACCCATACCGCCGCGCCCCCCCCTCCCAGGTGTGAATGCAATCCCACACAGACACACGGGTATAATTCATGACTGGATATTACAGAATGCTAATAACTACTTTCCTTTGGTACATATGGATAGGTTGTCCAAGCTATTGGAGGCTAGACTTGTTAAATAATCACTACATATAGAGTGTTTCCAAATCCTAAGTAGCTAACTGAACACACTGTTCCAACATGAAATGACTCTTATCAGTTGGAAGATGCCACTATATGAAAGTATACCTACTAGCTGTTTCACAATTTAAAAAGTAAAAGCCCATCAGATTGGCCTAAGGTTTTGTTTTTAACTATACAAACACTTCACCTTACTCCCTCCAGCCAGCCCCCTACCATTCTAATAAGGCTCCTCACTCTAGTCACTGTGTGGACATAAGCAGATCCAGTCCCTCTTCTACACCAGGACAGAAAGGTGAGAATAACTAGAAGAGTAAGGGAGTTAATGGAGATTTGGAGAAAGAGGAGGTCACCAAAGGCCAGAGCAAATTCTAGGAAGACAATGATATTGAACTGAGTCAGAAAGGTGGTACATCAGATGAGGTGGCATTTAAAGTAGTAAAAAAAAAAAAAAAAAAAAAAAGCTGAGCACCTGTAGGAAGCAGAATTTCGTATCTGGAAAAAGTAAATATTGATTATAGAGTTTGGTAAGAGAAGAAAGGGTTCATCAGTCTCCTGGTGCAAAGTTATGAATGAGGTTGAGAAACAGATTAGGGACACTAAAGATCAGTTTGAAGCATCCAGTCCATCTAAAGCCAGGGTGGAGAACTTTTATTTTGCCTAGGGCTAATTTAGATATTTATAACATAATTCTCGGGCCATACAAAATTATTAACTTAAAAATTAGCTTGCTATATCTGGTCAAACATTTAATTAACTCACTCCTCATGCAGTGGCAGGCCAGACCAAATTTATTTCATGGGCCTTATACAGTCCATGGTCTGGACATTCCCCACCCTGATCTGAAGAGGCTGACTTGTGGTAAAGGCAAAACAGTGCCACAGAAAATGTCTTTTTAGGAGCCCTGTTCAGAGCCTTGCATGAGATAAACTGAATGAGAGAGCAGAACACTCCACGATCAGTGCTACTTCCTAATGTAAAGTGCCATTTGCTCACATCAGTGATGGAAGTGAGATGCCATACATCTAATTTACTGAAGACTGTGTTATTTCTACATATCAACTATAGAACTTTAATTAAGCTTTAAAAAATTACAGTAAGAACAGTCATTTTTTAATATAATGGGTAGCATATGACTTGGTTTTTGTGAAATATGGTTCAGTAAGCAGTTTGGTTGGTAAGTACCAGTAAAATTTGCTTAGAAAACTGATTGATTTTGTGCTCATCTGTCATTAAACTTTAATAAAACCTGTGTTACATTTCTGTCATATCTTTGAGTTAATAAATATCTACTTTTGTTTATTCATTTCTGGTATTTCTGAATACTTGCCAAAAAGCCTACTTAACATCTCTGTGGATAAATGTTTTGATCAGGAAATAATAATGAGTCACATAAAAAGCATTATAAATAGCTGCTTTTAAAGTTTTCCACTGGTACTACTTTACTAGTCAAATTTCCAAAACAACTTTTAGAATGAAAACAGTCCCATTTTTTAAAGGTAAAATAATAAGCGGACCAGAGTTTACCCAGTCCCTATAGTGGTAAGCCCTGAATTAAACTGATAAGAACAGATACTACACTTGATCTTAGCCAAAAGGCCGAGAAGCGATAAGCCCTGAATTAAAAGTAACAAACACCAAGAAGTGGAATTCTGTCTGCTCTATCACTGACTACCTAATTACTATATGCAAATCACTATGCTGAGCAATGGGGTCTTGGGAGGAGGAAGACATGACTCTTGATCTTAAGAACTTATCTCAGAGAATACAAACTTACAGCAGGCAACCATAATCCCATTCTGAAACACAAAGAAGGAAAAATTACTATTCCTATACTTGATTAGTCACACAAGTTTGCTTTTGTGCATTTTTGAATTTTAAATACATATATACATCATACATACAGAAACATACATATATTTAAATCTCTATACTTACAATCTAGAAAAAAATATTAAACAGTACCTTTAATTCCTAGCAAAGTCTAACATATTTATTTACTTATTTATTCATTTTACTAAAGTTGTAGTATGTAATGAGAAGTAGAAAAAAGTGCCAGAACATCCCAGGGTAGCTAGAGGAAAATCAGGTTCTTCACCTTCTTCAAAATTTCAGTGTGGGAGTACAGGCCAATTATAGGAAAACATATGAAGATTCTTTCACAATAGGACCCAGGATAACTTTCCTTATCCTACTTGGAAACATTCCTTAGAGACTGTGTATAACCTCTGGGTATAACAATGAGCCTGGGGGAACAGAATTCAGACTTGACTTTAAAAATAGCTTCATTTTAACTTCATTTCCCTATAAGTTCTATCTTTATAAAGTTAAAGAAATAGAACCAAACTTTTCAAATTGTCCCCTGGTATTTCTTGGAGTCTTTTAAGATCAAAAATAAAAAAATAAAAATCTGGGCCCACTTAATGAGTTTTGAGGGCAGGGTTCTTTGGCTTAAAACAATAATTTAAAAGATTACACAGACTCATTCTTTAAAATCTTTTTATTACATCTTTAGGTTAAGGAAACTTTTTAAAAAATTAATAGTGCTAATTAAACATTTCCTAAAAATAAGTAGTAATGTTAACTTATTCAAATTCTGCATAGGATCATTCTAGAATTAGATGCTAATTACAACCCAGGGGGAAAAAAAAGAATTCAAATGAAATCAGTAAGACTTGGTAATATAAGACAAAGCAACACAATATATGGCAAAGCCTGCCTAGATCTCCCCCAGGACAGTCTCAGTCTAGGGCAGCTTAGAGTAGTCCAAGTCCCATCAATATATCAATTTTACCTCAATTTTACCGTCCTCTTCAATAAATACAAAACCTAAATGATAACTAAACAGTCTAACATTCAGCCTCAAAATATTAAGACAAGGAAATTCTTGATAATTGTTTATGTTCTAGTAAAAGAGGAGTTTTAAGTTTAACAAAAGCTTACAGCATTAACATGGATGCTTAAGATACAAATTCAAGCTTACTTTGA